CACGACACGCTACTTATTGATATTCGGTCTGTTACAGCCCAGTCTGTTATGGCCTCCCTAGCAGGTAGAAGAAGGCAAGAGGGCGGTTCTCTTGGCAACGGTTTTATTTAACATTACACAAAGATAGCGGAGTCTGTGGGGTCCTTCAACTTGTCCACTCCGGCATATTTATATGGTTCCGGTCTTTCTAGAATATTCCTGGCGCATGTTGTGCGCCTGGGCCACTGACCACGCTACGTGGGGCGGTTGTCGCGTTTGCTCGACGTGGACGTCTTGCATGCGGCCATATGCCCAATGATAACCCTTAGGCTAACACACGAGAGAAGCCTGATGGGAATGATCGAAAGAAGGGGCGTAAAATTAAGCCTACCAAAATAACATAACATTTTAGGGGAGCAAAATTTATATGGAGCCACGTGTCTGTTGGCCACCGCGTGACGGACGAAAAAACTAAAATACCTACAGACTAGTCCGACTGAAAAGGCGCCCGTGGGCATAATTTGCGGGGTAGGGCGCACGCGATTAGTAAAAAAACACGAATCAGCTACGTCTTTAACACCTCTCCACGTATTCTTTTTGGAAAAGATACGGACTTGAACGATTTGAACAGCAGGAAATTGGGAGGCATAAAATCTGTGGAGAACATACAAGGCGTGTTCTCCAGTGAAACACTAGGTACACCAGACCCAGGAGTGACAGGAGTCTTGATATTGGCCTTCTGGAAGCTGGGATTACAGTCTTCAGAGTTTGAGCGCCAACGCAGACCGTCGAGAGAGCTGTTGTCCGACCGGGAGGGACTCATCTCGATACGACTGTCCGCCATTGGCATCCTCGGCTTGTCGCCCATAAGCCCCTCAGAAAACCGTGGTGGTGGCTGGGCCAGGGTCCCACCGCGAGGATCTCTTGATCCATAGACCAGTCCTCTGTCCAGGTTTGCTTGCATCAGACCAGAGGGTGACTCTTGCGGGCTGCCCGTAGGCGGTAGCGGTGGCGGACGCGGGGGCAGAACAGCGTTACTGCGATAGATTTTCTCTTCAGACATAGCACATGAATCTACAGTTCAAAAGAGGTACATCTCAGTTTGGACAGTTTGTGCTCAATCGTATGGCATATACGTGAAGTATACTAATTATTTCTCCCAACCACAATATTTCAATTACTTCCATGCTTAACTTGAAAATTCTATTTGGCAAACACACGTTTTCAGCGCGGCTTTCGAATTTGAGCCACCCATTTTTTGCTCTCCTTTCACGTGGGAATTTATTATCCTATACCATCCTCTCTAATCCTCTGTTTTGT